GTTTCCAATACGATCATGGATGCAAGATAAATGAGGCTCGAAGAGGTGCTAAACATTTATTGCTTCTTTCTTGCCTCTGCAGCTTATGCTTTTCTCATTTTGTGTTCTCAAAAGATGAACCATAAAAATAATAGTGTGACTGGAACTGATTTACTCTCGGCATAATTTGAAATAAGCAGCAGAGTCAGTTTCATGTCATTAAATCAAGCAGACTGCTTAGTGTCTGATTATACTCTGCCCTTTAACACAAAATCCCAAACCGTTCAGCTCATCCTTGTAAATGAGCCGGCCCTCTGTTTAAAAACTCATTATTAGTTTTTGGTCCATTTTTTAGCAGCACGGGTAGTGATAAAGACAGCTAGCTGGATTAACGTGAACCTGATGGCCATGGGCTTGATGCTGTGTGTTTTGTTTGTTGTGTTAACAAAGACGGAGGGCGGACTTGTGCTGCCTCTCCTGTCATAGCGACGGAGCGAGTGCTGTGGATTTGTGGCGGTCTCCAATGACACCATCCCCTTTAAGCCTTACTCCTAGGTGCACTCTAAGAAGCTCGTATTATCCAAACGCCTGCTTGTCATCAGAAGGTTTTTCTTCTTTCACTCAAATCGATGGGAGGAAGTCAGCCAGAGGTGTGACCGTGCTGATATATTGAACAAACGTATGAATGTCACCCATCTGGAAGCTTTTATGCTGCCTTTTATTGCTCCTCCATATCTCCAGACAGTATGCCCTCCTATCTGAAACAGTAATACCTTTCTGTGTTTGTGTAGATACACCTCACCATGTGGGATTAACTGGTAGCCGTTCCCTGGTCTCTGGTGGTCTCACATGAGTGGTGTCCAGACCGCAGGGACCCAAAGAGAAAGCTGAATGGCCCAGGAGCCCGGCTCGGTCACATGGCATCCCAGCTGGGAAGAGGAGCTGGGGCTCAGGTGACCTGTTTTTGTACTGCTAGCTGGGCTGTAACAGATCCACCTTTAAGACAAGCAAGCTGTTTCCCTGACAGGTGGTTTTAGCGTGGTAGCTGCTAAGGCTGCAGCCTCGCAACGCCCCCTGAACCTTCCTGTTGCTGCAGTGACGTTACACTCGCATTCATAGCTTCCAACGTAAGGCGGACTAAGAAAAAAGGAAGCTTCATGTCGGTGATGTAACAACACCGCAGATCCAGGCGTAAAAATTGATCAGTAAACACTGTTGTAATGCACCCCGAGTGGCTCTTAGCGTTTTTATTTTTCTCCCACTCCTCTGTTCTGTGCACACAGACCCGGCTCTCATTTTATTTAGCGGTGCAAGTGTTGTCATTTAGACCCTGGCTCCATGTGTGTCTGCCTGTTAGCCTGCAGTGACAAGAGCTTTGTAAGTGGAGTGAACAAACCTGAAGGACCTCACACGTGCAGTCACTGATAAGGATTCAAATGCTGGATGTAACTGCATTCAAATTACGTTTAAAAGAACTCAGTCATGACAATGAACAGCTCGGATGTATTGATTTCTCCTTGAGTTTATCCAAATTAAATTCAAATATATATATAGAGAGATTTTAGTGCTCAATGTAATGAGCAACACGGTAATTTTGGAGATTTCTATGATCGATAAGGCAAAATATCACTGAAAGACTGTCTTCATGAGAAAGAAGGGGGTTCTGGTTTGATGAGACCAAAATGCTGCCCGATGAAACCTTGCATTTCACCCCAAACAAACCACCCCCACTGTCGGACATGATGGTGGCAGTGTTATGCTGTGGTTGTGCACAGAAACGGTCCAGGCTTGAGTTGATAACAAACTAGATGGACCTGAAATACAAGATGAAATACAAGAGATAAATTAAGGTTGTGAAGCTACTGGACAGTGAGTGAAGGTGTCGTAGTGTAAAAGAAAAGCCATTGTTTGTCATTTTACTAAAATTTCTACACAAAATCCCTGTAAACCTGTTTAAATATTCAGTACTTTTTAAACTATTATTTACAGCCGTCCGTTAATCCTCCATAGTCGTCTTTTCTTTAAATATTTTTAGCAGTTTTTTGAATTGGTTTTCTTATAATCAGGCTGTAATTCAGCTCTTTAGGTGGCTGCAGCTCTCTTAGTTTCATGTGCAAAGAAGAGTTGCTGCATGGGTGTCTGTAACGGTGCTCTGCGCCGTATTGATGCATGACTTCACCTTCAGTCCAGCGGGAAGCACTGGCAGCTGTGGGCACGCTGATTAATGAGGGTATCCCAGAGCTGGGACGGCGAAAACCAAGACCAGACCTCCATCTCATCTGGGTTCAGCCGTTTTATTTATTTTTCCTGTGTTTAATGCTTTCTTAGCTGAGTCACAGCAGCCAGCTATGAGGACGTAGTGTGGTCGCATTCGCTTGGCAGGGGTTGCTATGGGATTCGGTTGAAATCCCTTATTTTGTTTTGCTCCACCCACTTATATATGAATGTAATCTGGCCAGACTAGGCTGTAAAAACCTTAATAAAAACACTGTTCCGCATCAGCCTGTGTTAATAAGCTGAAGAGAGGGGAAACTTATTTAAAGGAGTCATTTGATTTTTATTTTTTATTTTTGATGATGGGATTTGATCTTAAATGGAAAGGTGTTCCGTCTACAATGATGTGACTGTCTCCTAGTGAGAGGGGGAAAGGAGGGGAAAAAGGAAAGGCTGGATTACGCCACCCAGAGTCTGCCCAGGTTTGGACTGTGTAGCATCACTGTTGGACCTCCCCCCCCCAACCCCCTGCCCTCTCTAATGGACGAGCTCTGGCGATTTGTAAAGCTCCCTCTTGAGCCCGGCAATTTATTTAGTGAGCAAATGAAAACAGAAATGAGACGTGGAGCACATCTAAACCTCTTCCTTTTTGTGGCTTCTTTTACAACACCTTGCTTGTTGTTTTTTCTTTTTTATCCTGTTCTAGTAACTGTCTATGCCTGCTCCATAACCTCCACATCCCTTCCTTGTTCTATTCATTTCCATAACAGTGGTGGATTTAGCCAAAGGTGGCTTTAAAAGGTCTCCCTTGCAACCGTCTGCGACACTCCCCTTCCCCTCAGCCCAGCATTACTCTTCGGTTTATTTAGGAAGTGCAGAGAGGAGGGAGAGGAATCTGTCTGGGCGGGGTGACCAGGCTGGGGAGGGGGGCTCTGGTGGAGGGGGCTCCCCCCCTCCCCATTCTGGCTGCATTTCTCTGAGATGATGGGCAGCTCTCCTAGAGGAAGTGGGAGGAGCTCGCAGGCGGTCGCAGCCCAGCTCAGATTGACTCAGGAATGTGGCTCCTCTGTACTTGGGTTTCTTTTTTCTTTTTTTTCCTTTCCCTTCCTGACTTTCTCGGCCAGAATCAGTTTGGCTGCAGATCATGTTTGTGCATTCCTTTAAAAGCCTCCTGTAATGAAAAGTGTTTGAAAGCAGGGGGCCGAGGGGTCCCGAGTCTCTGAAAGACACGCTAACATAGTCCACTTGAGTTTTTTATGCACATCTAAGTAGGATGTGCAGAAAGGAAACACAAAAAGGTCAGCTTGACTGATTTCATGGCGTTTATTAATTATATATCTATTTTTTTATGGAAAAGATCAGACATAGATTAAATATTTCCTCTGTTTGTCTTAACTTAAATGTTTACATCCAGTTGAAACCCAGCTATGGAAATACAGCGACATTCTGGAAAAGTTAATGTTTCATAATCAGTTCAGTTCTCTACACACCTATCCATCCGTATTTCAGTCCATATATTCTGTTATCTATTAACGCATCCCTCCCTCTGTCCATTTATCCATCAGTCCAACTTTCCGACCGTCTTCTTGTCCTCCGTCCAATCAGTTCACCTTAATGTTGATTTTTCCATCCGCCCGTCTCTTTTTTCAGCGTTTTAATCCATATCTGACTCGGCCCAACTCTCTGCCTGACATGTTCTTCTGTAGTAGAGTTAGTAGTCTTTTTAAAGAGGTGGTTGTTTAGTTTAATTGTTTGGCTGACTGGGTATTAGTTGCATCAGCTTCTCCCTCTTTTTTATTTTTTAAATGTACACTAAGATGCATGTAGCTGATTCTCCTAGTACCTGGTTTCTCTGTTAATTGGGTCTGGATCTGACAGCTGTCATGTCTGTAAGGCCCAAAGCCGTCCACTCGGGCCGTTCTGTGCGGTTTGTTCCCACCTGATATGAAAGGAGTTGTAGTCGTTTCTGTTTTTGAGGACTGCTGGTTTCCTGTCTAGAGGTTTTTCAGGCAGGTCTGAGAGCTAACCTCATTCAGCTTTCCTAGAAAGTCATGCTGGAGACACATTTTTGTGGGTCTTAAGCTGTGAGATGATTAGCTGCATTCTTTCCTCACTGAACCCAATAGACACGCAGAGGCAGGTCTGTCTGGGAGTTTTAAACACCGCAAAGCGTGGACCTGTGTTGTTTGGTTACCCCTCTAACATCCATGAGCACCCTGAGACGCGATCTGAGCCTTTGTTTGGTCACAGTTAGCATGGGCAGGCGGGGGTGTGACCTCCAGCCTATTTTGTCTCAGCATCTGTCCCTCTCTCTAATCCTGCTTATCAACAGAGCTGTGTGTACCGGGGGTGCTACTCTAACACACAGGCTGCTGTCTGAGCTCGCATTAAATGCAAAAAAATAAACAAAAACAGGATTTAAACATTTCATCTGTTCTTTCTTCCTCTCAGATGTCGTAGTAACTACATTCCTGCTGTTTTCTGTCTAATCCTGATGGAAGCTTATTGTAAATAAAACATGCAGTGAAGTCAACGTCTCATATTAAATAAGTTTGGCTGAGTTCTTAGAATAGATCTTTCCTCTTCTTCTAAATGGGGGGGAAAATGGCTTCTGTGTTGCATTTCCTCCCTGGTTTCATGGAGGCCAACAGCTGTGTTCTCTTGCTCCCCTTTGTGGAGTTTTCTTACAGTGCAGCCTTTTGTACTCCAGACGGTTTGCAGAGTTGGCCTTAGTGCATTTCAGTCCTGCCCCGTTCTTCTGCCGGTTTCACCCGTCTGTAACCTCAGCCTCGAAGCTTTTATCAGAGGGGAAGTCCTGGCAAACCGTTCTCTGTGTAATAATGATTCATGCCTGAACGTATGCTGGAAATACCCCGTTTTCACTATGATTTGGAATTTCGGGTTTAATCAGTACTGCAGCTTTGCTTTAACTAGCATCTGTGCAAAAAGAAAAAAAAACATTTTAGTCATATGTGGTTTTCTCCTCTTTTCCTCCATTTCCAGGCCTTGTGGATGCACTTAGATGTCTGCAATGACTGCTGTGGCTGGCATGCCTCAGTGTTTCGGACTCCCTTTCTCTGGACTCAGTAGGACAAGAACTGATCAGCAGAGAACGTCATGAGCATAGTCATCCCAGTAGGGGTGGACACAGCAGACACCTCATACCTGGACATGGCTGCAGGCTCAGAGTGAGTAAACCCACCATCTTTCCTCCTCCTCCTTCTTGTAAACACTAAAGTCCTTGGCAGCGCTAAAACTTCACTCCTTCCTTTAATGCCTTCATGTTCTGTTTACTTCCGTTTTCATATCTAATGATGTTTTGTTTTAACTGCAAAAGCCTCACATTCTAGGTTACAGAATCAAAATATGAAAACACTTTAAAGTCTTTATGTTATGTTTTTTTAATTCGTGGATTGATTAATAACTCAGTCCCATTTAGATAAGAAGCAGTATGGCTTCCAACATTGGGACCTTTCTCTGCAACATTTCCGTAAATCTTCCTGAACTAAATTAGAGTCACATTGTCGTTTTCATCAGGCTCCACTGCATAAGGTCTTTTGTTTATTTTACCTAAACAGGCGGACTTTCTACTTTTCCTTTGAAATGAATGTTTAGGACCTTTGCTGTTGTGGACATGAGCAGGTCTGTGTTGTGAGACACGGTTGTTTATTTTCAGATTTTAAAATCCTGTCCCTGCAGCAGCTCCTCCCAGCAGAACCTGCTGCCGTTCGTTCCGGTGAACGAAATCGGAAAGTTGCCGATCCCGGCCTCAATCGTGACTCGCGTGCTTCTGGTTTAAAGCTCCGACTTGATGCTTGCACATGTGAACACCGTGTTCAGTCAGTGAAGCAGAAATGCTGCATGGCGCCATGGAAACACGCTCGCTCTGGCCCCTCCCCTTTGTTTCCTGTAGTCTTGTCAAGGACGCCGCCGTAGCTTTTTCTGGCAGAAATGAATCCGGCAAGACGTTCGGTGTATGACTGAAGACTAACACACGTCATCCGCTCACAGAGGGACTCCTGTCTCTTTAAAGGAGGGGTCGCCCTCCCCTTCGTTCCCCCCCTCCCTTCGCCTTCCTTGGAGCTGTTGCTGTGACAGCTTGAGTTGCCATGGTATCTGCCCCCTTGCTCCCCTCCTTCCCTTGTTACGCTGTGCAGGACTTGCTGCCATAGTCTTTGGCCTGAGTGACAGGTGGTCCTCACACAGATATGGCGTCTCCAATAGCCCCCCCTCCCCTCCTCCTCTCTGCAGAGCAGTGCTGTCACCAGGGGTTGGAGGAAGCCCCTCTATTTAGACTCCCTCACTTCTTTGTCTGGTCGCTTGGTGCGACGGCCCCACTGCAAATGTATTCAGAAGCAGATAGCTGACTTTAAAGGGAGGGGGGCGCAACGCTAAGCTGGACACGGATGCACACACGGCTCCGTCGGCCACTCTGTACCCGCCAGCTGAGTCTGAGGCAGAGCGGAGAAACGGCGTCACGTCCTTTAAACGTCCCCCCCACCCCACCAGAAGGCTGCAGCAGCACGAGCAGCTGCAGGCGAACGCGGCGCGCCGGTCCCGGCGTGCGCGCACTCGTCGTCGGAGTACGTAATGTTGCCATGGCAGCAAGCGGGATCTCTTCAGGAGTCTGCTCTTTCTTCTGCTGCTGATTTCTTTCCTTTTGCTCCTCTCCTTACGCCAGGCTGTAGGTCCAACACAGAATCACAGACGCAGGTGTTCAAAGCTGCCTGCATGTGAAATCAAACCCACTTCAGATTTAAAAAACAAAACTCAGTTTCTTCCAAGTTTGGCTGTTTTTTTTTTTTTTTAGTTATGACGTTTAGTTAGGATGTAATATATCCTCCTAAAAACAAGCTTCTGACTTCACATGATGGGGAACGTGACGAGCGTCACAAACGGCTCAACTAAATGATCCCAAAGGGAAAGTAAACGTTGGAGCTCATGGGTTTTTATTTCAAACAGTTGTCATAGATGTTAAGGGCTACATGTCTTTTTAAAGATGGAATTTGCCAATTTGTTTTCTCTTTATAGATCAGATTAGATTAGATTCAACTTTATTGTCATTACACAGGTACAGGTACAAGGCAACAAAATACAGTTTAGGTCTAACCAGAAGTGCAGGATAAATAATGCTTCCATGAATACAGGACATGGGTTTTTACTGAATTACTATTATAAATAATGAATATAATATATAGATCACTGGTGTTATGAACTAAATTTACAGCTGGATATGTACTGATTATAATCTCTAATGCAGGAAAACGAGCAAACCGGCGTTTAAATCTTCTTTCACTCCTTCCTGCTTTGATTGATCAGTAATTATATAAAAGCAATTGCTGTAAAACAGTTTTACTGAAAACAGAAAGGAAAATGCTGCCTCCTTTTATTAAGTTTTATCTTCAGTCTAAACTCGTCCCACTCTGAAGCAAAGAGGGTTCTGAGCTCGACCTGCTGCTTTTAACCTTCCCTGATAGGAAAGATATCAGATTTTAACATTTTGATCGATCAGACTGTAAATTACCTCTCTACAGCTCCTCTTTGTATTTCTCTTATTGTGTTAAGCGAGTCATTTGCTTCACTACGCTGACACAGTTACCGTTAAAGTCCTCTAAGTGGATTTATTGTGTTCTGTTCAGATGTGATGAAACCTTGATGCCGTACGTCAGATTAAGAAAGAAAAAGCTGCAATAAAACCGACTGAAGCAGTTTGTGAAGAGGATTTTTGTCTTTATATCTGTGGAGAATATTCTCTGGCTTTCAATGCATTTTTCTATATGTCAGTTAAAGAAAACCAGCAAATTATCTTAGAATCATGTTTGTCTCTTTCACTTTTCTCTCTTCCTCGTGTTTGAGGATTCATGCCATAAAGAAGGACTGTAACTGAAAGCCCGGCAGATACTAACACCCGATGTAAAGTCGTAGGTTGGAGCCTCCTACATGTGATAAGAGTGAAAAAGGGAATGATTGCAACCTTTAACCTACTGCATCTGCTTCTCAGATGAAGCCAGCAACTCTTTTCCACTTAATAAACTTTTTACTCCTTAAATGTGAACTTAGATTTTGCTTTTACATTTCAGCACAACCCTGAGCCACTAGATAAAATAAAACCAGCGGTCGGTGTGTTTAAACAACACATCTTTGTTCTTATTATTCATCAAAGTGTCTTTCACTCTTTGTGAAATTTCCCACCGGTTAAATGAAAGTTTAAAGCGTACACAGTCTGGCAGTTGATCTGTTCTGCACACACCCCTCTCCCCAGCACCGCCTCCAGACCTCATGCTTGCTCGTACGTTTTTCACTTTGACAGTGAAGAGCCGAGCGGTAATACACACAGGAAGTGTTGCACAGAGCTTGTTCGGCGTGCAGGGAGAGCGAGGAGGTCTCACACAGGTACTGTACAACCACATTAGCTCGGGAATTACTTCTTGTAAAGCCGGGACTCTCTACAGGATAGATCTTGTTTTGTTTTTTTTAAACGCCTGTCGTTTATTTCAACCCGTTCTCACGTAGACATGCGTGGCCTGTTCAGAGACTTCAACCTTCAGCTTTTTATTGCCCGGTAGTGGCCCTTAGATATTTATGGCTTCTTTTAGTGTCATGGGACAGAGCAGCAGAGAAAATTTGCTCATCAGCTGCCACACATACTCTGGTGTTTATTTTCCTAGAGCTCCGAGTGTTTTTCTCCAAAACTCCTTAAAGAAAAGGATCAAATGTGTTTTCTCTTGACTGAACATGTGGATCGTTAACCAGAGCTGCTCCTCATGTTTCCCTCGTTTTTAGTCTTTGTTGTTTTTCCTCTTCTTCCCTCTTGATACCTGACCATCTTGTCACACCATCCGTTTTGCCAGTTCCACTTCCCTCTTCATCTATTAGCTCCTCTGCAGCAACTGAAGGAAAGATTAATCGCATTGAAATTGAGGTTGGCTGGACTCGGAGAGCCAAACTGGTTCTCTCAGCTTCAGTTTGCGCCGGGGAAAGTTGTTAAACCGGTTTGGCGTGAAGTGGAAGACAATTTGTGTGTTTTGTTGTTTTGTGTGCATGAGAGACTGTTAAAGTTTAATTATTGGCCTCCTCGTGAGCTGGACGGTAAAGGTTCGTCTGATTATGACTTAAATGATGTCTGGCTCCCAGGCCCAGGTAATGTGAGGTGAGATTCTTCCACATGTTCCTGCTTTTTTTTAGTCTCTTTATTCAGATCTTATGATCGTTTTCTGGCAGCTTCACCTTCCTGCAGCAGCCAGTCGTTGGGCAACATACCTGCTAATCATTGTGATGCATCCAAATGATCGCAGATATGTTAGAAGGAAGGTACCACTCTGAATAATCTTCCTTTCTCTTACTGCCCAGCAGACCTGAATCAGTGGAGGCCAGCCCTGTGGTGGTGGAAAAGTCCAGCTACCCACACCAGATTTACAGCAGCACTTCTCACCATTCCCACAGTTACATCGGCCTGCCTTACGCTGTAAGTAAAGCAGCTTTATCCACCTTTGGTTTATTTGTTGGTATCAAAAGAGGCGCTACAGTAAGCCTGTCTCAACACAGCCGAATGAAGGAGACTCTGGAATGAGAGCAGGGTGTGTAGTTCCTATTCTTTGTTTAAACAATCGGCCTAATGAGCATATTGCTCGGGCTTTCTCACAGTCGCCTACATGCAGCAGGTCGCCGCATTCTTTAATTAACATCTAAAATCTTGAGTTTATTTTATTAAAGAAACCCTTTGCAGCTTTCAGGGGCAAGAAACTACCTAAATGTATATTTTTGTTCAGTTTCTTTCTTCCTCCATCAATGCTTTAATTTCTTTGACATGAAAAGGAGCGATTGGTTTGATTAAAAGCTAAAAGATGCTTAAAAGCAATAAGAAAATAACCTGTAAATGCAATTCTGCTTCTAAAAACAGCGTCTAGGTTGTTTAGGTTGATTCAGTTGATTAGTTGTTATAATACTGTTAGAATATATGATCTAGATGGTTTATTTTCTGTAGGTTTATTCCCCAAAAAGTTTGACCTTATAAAGCTACTTTACTGGAATAATAAACCCAGTGATGTTTCCTTAACTTTTACTTGTTTCAGAGTAGAAAAATAAAAATGTGATCATGGATTATTTTTGGTTTCTATGGCTTCACACTGTTTACACTCTGAGGAAAAGGTAAAAAATATAAACTCGAAGTATCTAAAAGTTCCTACATCTGGATGATTTAAGGTTTTCAATCCTAAATATGATTTGCTTTGGGAGGGGGATGCCTAAAGATGAGCATGTTGGTCGCTGCGGCTCTGATGTGAACCACTCAGCTGTGTGGGAAACGGTTTAAACGCAACTCCTTAACATAAGCTTTCTGTTTATGCGGTGGAATAAACTGTAAGTTAACCCAGATATTAACTGTAAGCAAAGATGATCTGAGCTGATTTACCAAACAACCACATGAAGACAGGGAGGAGGTGAACTAGCATTAGCTCGCTACTACATGCAGTGATCTTCACCAGCAGACAGCTGTCGATGGTGAAGGTTTCCGGTCACTTGTGCTGTTTAACACAAGTGACTTAACAGTTAATTAAGTAAAATATTAACAATATTAAAGCCCATGTGTTAACCTCGGCATCCTGCAGAAATAAACTGGATAAAAGCACCAGGATAGAGTCAGATCAGGATGTGTTATTAGCTGCTTTATTTATTAAAGGAATGCTATTTATTATCAAATTGATCTGCACTGTATAATCAGACCAGGAGTCTGCGACCTGCGGCTCTTTAGACCCTCGTTGATAACGCTAGCTAACAGTTAGCGTGGTTTTTAAATGTAGTTAGGAAATGTGTTTCAATAGATCTCTGTTTATGGCTGCTGCACTGAAAAGAAAATATTACCTTTTTATTTTAAAAAAAGGCTTTCACTTCATGTTTAATGAAACCTGAAATTAGGATTGAGATTAGCTCATTTAATCATAAAAGTAAAGCTAGCTGGATCATTAATGTCTCCTGGTTTTCACCTCTGAGAGATTAAAAGGGAACCTGGTAAAATGCAGAATAAATTATTAAAAAAACAACCTTTATAGTAATATTTATTTTCAGTTTATTACAAACTGAATATTAAATAATCTTACTTCTGATAAATAAACATATTTGTTTTGTCAACATTACTTAAGAGTAGAACTAAATTTTCTTTCCTTAATCTCCACTTTGTAATTTCCCTCTGCGGTTATTAAAGTATTTCTGATTCCGACCTTGACCTTTTTTTTTTTATTCTCAACATTTTTCTTTATTATATTTATCATTGAATGAATAAATGCAAAAACAGAAGTTGTTTGATTCACCATCTGTTTCCTGAGATCACAGATCTTCTAATGTTTCCTTCATTTGCTGCTTCAGGATCACAATTATGGGGCGCGGCCCCCACCTACGCCGCCAGCCTCCCCCCCACCCTCCATGTTGATCCGACAGGGAGAGGTGGTACCCTTTGGTTCAGGGCCCCAGGATGAAGCGTCCCGGGGCACCACGCTCAGCACGTCTGAGGACAGCAGCTATGGGACCGACATCACCCGTTGCATCTGTGGCTTCACCCACGACGACGGTTACATGATCTGCTGTGACAAGTGCAGGTAATCCCCGGTTCCAGTCCTGATTCCCTGCGGCAGACGGCGAGCCGCGCGTTATTAAATGGCCGGTTTGTGTTATTTATTTCAGCGCCTGGCAACACATAGACTGCATGGGTATCGACAGGCAGAACATTCCTGAGACCTATTTGTGCGAACGGTGCCAACCGCGACATCTGGACAGAGAGAGTGCCATCCTGCTTCAGACCAGGAAAAGAGAATGTTTATCTGGTGAGGATTGTTTTAAAAACGTCCAAATGTCTGTGATTTCCCTGAAGTTTGCCGTTCAGCGGCTGGATTACTCCGAGTTGAACTTGTGGTGTAAGAAGTTTTCTCTCTGAGCCCAAAGATGCGAATCTCAGTTCTGCTTTTGCGGCGTGTGCTGCAGTAAATGGCCAGTTTGTTAGTGAGCGTTGTAGGCTGTCACCGTGGTGCTTCCTCCTCCTGCAAGTCAGCCAAAATTCATTTCCCAAGCTCTATTTTATGTCATAGTGACACCTGCTGGACGAATACCAAACTACAGCTCTGTAATTCATTGTCTGACATGCTGTTTGTTCTATTATTGCAGCCCAACTAGCTTTTATTATCCTGCAGCAGCTGCAGCTTTTTATAGCTCTATGTTGGCTTCTCTGCTCCGTGTTCTCTTTGTAACTTTGATGCTTGTTCAGACGGGGACACCAGTGCGACAGAGAGTGGAGATGAAGTTCCACTAGAGCTCTATTCCACCTTTCAACACACGCCCACCACCATCACGCTGACAACCGGGCGGCTCGGCAATAAACCGGCCGAGAAGAAGCGGAAAAAGAGCGGTGAAAAAGACTCGCCGGCATCTTCCGCTCGCGCTAAGAAGGTCAACTTTCTTTCATTCGGTAACAATAAAAGGCGTTTTAACCGAACCTCGTTTTAACTCCACCAAAATGATTGGTTTGTTTGTAGGCATTCAGAGAGGGGTCCAGGAAGTCCTCTAGAGTGAAGGTAAACTCAGAAACAACACAGATGTTCTTCATAGTGCCCCCTGGAAGCTTTCTGCAGTATTTATCGGTTTGTTTTGTGCGTCAGGGTGCCGCTCCAGACACGGAGCCGGTGGAGCACCCTTCTATGTGGGAGAGTAAAATCAAGACGTGGATGGAGCGCTATGAAGAGGCCAGCAGCAATCAGTACAGTGAGGACGTTCAGGTCCTGCTGCGTGTCAAAGAGCAAGGCGACGGCAAGAACCTGGCGTACAACACTCACCCGGCCTCTTTCAAACCCCCGGTGGAGGTAAGAACCAGCAGCAGGAATCCTCATGTGTTCATTTTACTCCCATTCAGTGTTTTAGCTCTATGCTGTTGGTTTTTCTCATGCTGCTCAGTGCTGATCTTACATCGTTTGTGTTGCTCAGAGTCAAGTTCAGAAGAACAAGAAGATCCTGAAAGCCGTGCGGGACCTGCCCCCAGACTCCCTGATCATCGAGTACAGGGGAAAGTTCATGCTTCGACAGCAGTTTGAGGCCAACGGTTACTTTTTCAAGAGGTCAGGAAAATCCTCAGGGGATTCAAATTTGAATACCACCAACTTTAAAGTGTTTCTATTCTGCCTCGCAAAGATACTCAGAAACATTTGTTCTTTCTTACACCACAAATTTCCATGTATTTCCGGAAGTTTATGCCTCAGCAACTATTTAAAAAGCAGCTGTTTATGAAATCCTCTTTAGTTGACACTTTTCAGTTTGTCGCAGCATTTAAAATGGAATTCACAATCTATTTATTGTTCCACAGTGGGGAAACATTTATTATTTTAGAATAGCTTTGATAACCGAGGTTGCTCCGACTTGAGCTGCGCTTCCCAATCTTCCCCGCAGCATGATGCTACCACCATCATGTGCGCACATAGTTTTGATTACAAGTATGTAGACATTAGACCCTTAAAATCCATTTATATTTTCCCTTCATTTCACAAAAATGCTTTAATTTTCTTTGTTTAACACAAAGTCTGATAATGCTTCAAAATGGGTGTTAATACTTTCTCTTTCCTCTTTTTCTTTCCCCGTTCAGGCCTTACCCGTTTGTCTTGTTTTATTCCAAATTCGACGGAGTGGAGATGTGCGTCGACGCTCGCAGCTTCGGCAACGAAGCTCGTTTCATCCGTCGTTCCTGCACCCCCAACTCCGAAGTAAGCCCGACCAACAGTCGCTCTGCATCCCATTAAACGACACAAACCATACTTACTTCCGCCATTGTTTTCCATGAATCCCTCAGGTCCGGCATGTCATCGAGGACGGCATGCTGCATTTATACATCTATTCCCTGAGGCCCATCTCCAAAGGCACAGAAATCACCATCGGTTTCGATTTCGATTACGGCAGCTGGTACGATATACGAAGTCATTGTACAGGAGGTGATTCGAATCCAAGTCGAGATGAATCGTTGTTTTTAATCGTTGTTCTCTTTATTTTCCCAGTAAATATAAGGTGGACTGTGCCTGTGTGAAGGGGAACCAGGAGTGCCCGGTGCTGAAGCACAACCAGGAGCCCACCGAGAACCTAAGTTCTGGAGGTCGGCGCAGGGGCAGCCGTAAGGACAAGGAGTCTGTCCGCGACGACCAAGGCCAGAACCAGAATGTGGCTTTGGACGGCGAGGGGAAGGGGAAGAGCATAGGCGACGGCAAACAGAGGAAACTCTCCCCGCTGAGACTCTCCATCTCAAACAACCAGGCAAGTTCAGGTCACCAACGTGGCCCAGAATCCTTCCCTCTGCCACCATCAGGATCCACTAATCAGTCATGTAGATTTCCCATCCTCCCTTCATCCATCCATGTGTTTCCCTTTCAGCCGTTCACAGATCCCCCTTTATTTTGTTGGATGTGCCGACTAGAGGCTGATCTTCTTGCCTTTAAGAACGATGCATTCAGGGTTTATTCAGCAGGTTAAGCTTAGAGACAGTTTTAAATATGGTGACCGACCAATAAATCAGCCCCAATTGAGTTTTACAAGGAATGTTTAACTGTTCTGTTTGAAATATGGAACATCTGAAGGGAAGGAATACAAACCAAACCTTTAGAGGAAATAAAAACAATATTAAAACACCCGCCCTTCTACCCTCTCCTTAGCTCCCGCCCCCGTCTCCCTCTAGTCTTTAGTGGGGCTGAAATTTCAGCCATGATGATAAAGAAAAATGGCCATACATGGCTCTCCCCTCCTCTTACAGGATCCTGAGTTATTTGAGGATTTAGAAGACAAAACATCCGTTAGCAATGAAGTAGAGATGGAGTCAGAGGAGCAGATTGCAGAGAGGAGGAGGAAGATGGTAAGTGTGCCAAGTTAGGGACTTGAGCTTCTTTTGCTACGCAGCCACCCAGCAGAAAGTAAAGAAACAAAAACCGAACCTCAAACTGTTGCTCTTCCCTGCTGGTGCGGATTAAACTATTTGTCTGCTGAGGGTTTCCTCTCTAGCGTCGGTCTACAACTCTGCTCAGAGGTTTCCACACACTCATCACTCCATGATTGTCGCCTTTGTTTTTGGTTTCTCTGATTAGTTTGAACCATTGGATAAAGAGCGTAGCTTCATGAATCTATGGCACCATTCTGACTGGATGCAGCCAAACTATTTTATACATTTAGGATCAAGAAGGCAGATTTCTGCTTAATTCAACCCAGAAATGGTTCTAATGTGTTGGAACGGCCAAACCTTTAACCATCTGGATGTTGGAGGCAAAACTAAGGAAGATATTTGTGGTCATTGTAGCAAAATGGATTCATCTTAATTCCTCCCCTGACCATAAAAATATGAACGTCCCTGTTTAACTGGATGCCTGATTTGATCGTTTGACTTTTCAAACACAATGGTTCAGACCAATCAGGGGAAAAAATGAAGTGGTGAGTGTGCGTATCCCTCTGACTGTACCTGTAGCCTCCTCTTCATCATTCATCTCTGCTAGGACTCCCACCACTATCTGCGGCTTTTGTTTCTCTCTGATTATTTCGCCCTCCTGTAACTTGATTTATTTGCTTGCAGCGTTGAAGCTTCTGGCTTTTCCTTCATTAAGCAGCAAGATTTATTTTTATATTTTCCCAATCACGCAATAGCGATTATAGAAACCTGCTGTCATTAACGTCCATCAGTGGTAGTGGAGAGCCATTTTTCATCTCATTGCATGCTGGAGCGGTCCCTGAGTGCGCATTACAGCTTCAGAGCAGCGCCTTCTCTAACCTTCATGGCAGCCAGGAGTTTAAAATGGCCTATCGTGGCATCAAGCACTCCCTGCACTCTCTGCCAAAAACAGCCTCGTGTCCGTGAGAGATGGGGGATCACACACACACACACAGAGAGGATATTACCCTGCAGTCAGCTTCATTTCACACCGTGGATACAAGGTGTAAAATGCTGACTCATCTTTGGGCAACATACAGTTGTGCTAATCAGCAAGAGAGATGGCTAGATTAAAGAGGGGAGGGGGCTGCAGGGGGTAGAGCCGTATTAGCTTTAGGACATCCAGAGCTGCTCTCTACGGAGCAGAAAGCAGAACTTTGCATCACAAGTAGCCTTTTTACGTGTAGACGATGCCAGCAGATGTTGTAGAACGAGGCAATTCATCACTCCCATTTAAAAAAGCGTTCCATTTTCTATGTTTCCCAATTTTATTTCTGAATTTTATCTTTAAAACCCTAAGTTTATATACACATCAAAGCAGCAAGACTGTGTTTTTTAATCAGTCCATCAGATGGCGCTTAATGTTGTAAATAAAAGCATGTTTCTGTCATTAGCGGACAACAGATGTACAGATAAGAACTTGTGGCAACAGCTGATAGATTTAGTCAAAAGGCCTTAAAATGATAACCTGACTCCGCATATCCATCTGGAAACCTTCCGTTGAAGTAATTTTGGAAAGGGGCGAAAATACTGGTTAGCTGATTGGCCTATGTTGGTGATAGACGGGCCAAATAAACCAATCAGATCAACGAAGCGTATGACGTACTAACAGCCAGGCTACTCTTGCCGAAACCAGTCGGGAGAAGAGCAAAAACATCTTTTCCTCTGAGAAAAGCCTCCAGAGCAGTGTTTTGCTCTTCTTTCAGTGAAGAAATACTCTGTAATTCCGATAAAACTTGCTCGATAGCCACGCTAACGCTAGTTTCATCGGCTGAAGCCGCCATGTTCTTTAGACTGAACTGTGGCGCTTCTCGTTGCATCACACCTCAACCCGCCTCAAAGCCAACGCTGATTGGACGTTCGTTTGGTGAACGGCTCCAAATTTTCTTTAACGGAGAGTCTCCAGACTGATTAGCGAGTGAAACCTTGAAAGCTCGCAAGATCAGGATGGTCTCACGAGGCTATTGAAATGAATTAATTTGTTGGAAGTAAAATCTACTCTATAAAATCTAAAAGTTGAAATTTTGAGCTTGTTTGTTTTGTTAGGAAAGAAATCTAAAGAAATGTTTGGCACCAATTTTATCGCACCATTTTATTAATATTTAATAGACATTATACTGCAAATGTTAATTGTAAAAATATTTACTACGTTAATATCCGAGTTCAGCGAGTTTTGGCTGTTAAATTTAAGCTTTTCTCATGCAAAGTAATATTTAATCAGTTGGGCAGAATGTCATGGCCGCTGTTGATCAGGAGGGACACAAACGGATGTTAAATGCAAACAGTCACAGACTGATGAAGGCACGGATTGACAGAGGAAGGGGAAAATAGGCCCCCTGATCTCGCCATCAAAACATTTCCTGAAATTGGGATATTGATAAAAGTGAAGATAAAATGTGTTTTTGGAGATATTTCGTTTGTTGCATAAATTTAAAACCTGAAAAACACAAAAGAGTAAAATAAATACTCTGGTTACCATTAGTACAAATGTAGTTCTGTTATCTTAAAATAAATTTGCCCAATGGAACCGATGAGTTACATATTTTAATCTTCAACATCTTTTCCTTCTGTCGGGGTCAGACTTCGCCTGTAAAGTTCTGGAGCTTCTTTTATAACATTTGGGAAAGATTGATGACAGGATGTTTAGCTGATCCTCTCGTTTTCCCACTCTCACCCTGACCTTCTTTCATTTCTGTAGTCATCATTTTGGATCCTAAAGTAACCCTGATAATTTGCTGCCATCTTTCCCATTTTTTAAGAGCTGTTTCTAAAAGGAGCGTGAAAGTCACTGCTGCTCTGATCAACCAGTTCTTAGTATTTTACGCCTTTAAGTTAAATTCTACTGCTTTAGGTGGTATAATAACTTTATTTTAAGGCTTTAAAAAAATAAAATTTGTAATCATCTGAATATTCCACAGTGATCTAAGGTCTTTTTCGCAGCGATTAGCTTTGCCACAACATCGATTTTATCCACAAACATCAAGTTTACACATACCCCATTTACACTACCCTTGAAAAACTGTGCTGAGACCGGTCCGAGCTCAGTAACTGAGATAACTCATCGTGTGTAAATGGAAAGCAAACTGAACTGAACCGAGCTAGACACAACCAAACCGCGCTAACTGCAAACCAGTTCCAGAGGTGGGCTCGGCTCAGTTTTTCCTCTGGCTCGGTTCTCTGATAACGAGCGCATGAGCAGAACGCGTCATCTCCGTCTGGCTGCACATCCCGATTCACACTCCATTCCAGTAGTCGGCGGTAATGCCCCTCCGGAAGTTGCTTGCCAACCAACACAAAACAGAAGAACAACTATAAACGACAATCGAAAGCCGACTTTCTCAAGTAAAACCACGAAACGTTGCCCTCTTCGCCTGACCCTCTGCAAACACCGAAGTACAGCAATAATAATCAAGCATAACTTTCTGAATGTGACGGGCGCCGCCATTTTGATTTCGTCTTCTTCTTCTTGTGTTTTATGGCGGTTGGCAAACAACTTTTGCTGCATTACCGCCACCAACTGCTTGATTTCTTCCTTCAATACTGGCAGTAATCCCGCAGATCGTCACTAGGAGGCGATGAACCGAGATAGCGTGGTGTGTAAACGGTCGTCAGACCGGGGTTGGGCTTGTTTACTTGTTCGATCTCGGACCGGTCTCGGCATGGATCGGTTTTTCAAGGGTAATCTATATCTAGATAAGTCATTGTTTCTTAAATAAATGCATTTGCTCTTGGATTGAGGAGGTAAAAGAGAGATTTTGCCAATGAAACAAGACAATTTACATTTAAAATAAGAAAACACAACTGGATTGTCTTATTTTAATTGCATGTTATCTATTTATCTTATTTTAAGAGTTAAAATACATCTTCTATTGGCAAATCTCATTTACCTACTTAGATTAAGAGTAAAATACACTTAATTTGCACTTATTTCTAGGCTGAAATGAACAATTTTTGCTGATTGATGGTTAAATGTTACTGGTTTAAAGCATGTAAGGTTAGAGTTTCTGTGGTTTGAATCGGCATATCGATTATGATCCGCCATCATGAAGAAATGTTTTTGTTTCCTTTCCATCATCATCATCACATGGTTAGCCTTAAGCACAGACCTGGCTAGCGTTTGTGGAGCCTTGTTGAACCGGAGAGCGTTGCTTCTCTAAACTGGGCTGTCTCTGTATTAAACATTCAGGCCAACCCAGCCGAGCAGTCCCATCTACCTGTCGGGGCGGCTTCAAGCTGGAAGGGGCCAAAACTCAAAGAGGTAAACTCGACCCCGTACATAGCCAACATCACCCTCATTCCAGGGGTTCACCACCACCAGATCTGCTTGTGGCTCCCGGTTTATAGGCAAACTAACCCTGTCTGGTGGTGTGGGTCTTTCTTTAAAGGGCTGTTAAAGGTGGAGGTAGCCGTAGTTTCCACTTAAGGAACTCGCCTTTTTTTTTTCTTTTTTTGGTTCCAGCAGGAGCAGAACCGACAACAGTCTGGAGCCACTTTTTCTACTCTGCTTTCCTGCTTTTGGGTTGTTGTTTTTTTTGCATCGTCGCTCTTTTTCTGCGGTGCTTCTGCTCTGAAACAGAGCAGTGGCCTTTCCCTACCTGTCTACCTTTGCATCCCTGCGCTCCCTTAGAATGGCTTCTGCTGTGTAACCCTCCTAAACCCCTTGCACTGACTTCAGGGCCTCGTTTGATGCTGACGGTTGTACCCTCTTCTCCCCCACCCCCTCACCAAACATGGCAGACACGAGAGGAGAGGAAGATGGAGGCCATCCTGCAGGCCTTTGCGAGGATGGAGAAGAGGGAGAAACGCAGGGAGCAGGCCTTGGAGCGAATCGGTAGCGTAAAGTCGGAGGTAGGAGGCCGCAGCGACATCAAAGAGGAGCCTCCGGCTACGCCAGAGACGGTAGAGTCTCCGTCTGTCATGCAGGTGAGAATAAAAACAAGCAAAAGATGGATTATTTCTCTAGAAACGTCTTTATAAACATGTCGGTTGACGTTGCAGCCGCCTCTTGAAATAAAGGAGGAGCCCGGACTCAAACCAGCCAAGGTGAAAACTTCACGGAACAGGAAGAGCTTCTCCAGGAGCAGGACTCACATTGGACAGCAGCGGCGGCGGGCTCGTACCATCAGCACTTGTTCGGACCTGACGCCCAGCTCTCCAGCTGAGCCCGCGGAGCCTCCGGCCAGTGAGACGCCAGAAAGAGAGACGCCCTGTGCGCCGGAGCCTGAGGCGATCCCCTCGCACGTCCCTGAGAGCAGCCCTCCTCAGAGCAGCTCGCCGGCGCCGGAGAGAGTCCGCACAGGAAGCAAGAGCTACAAAACTAAAAAGGTTGGAAACGTTTTAACTGATGTAAAAAAAAATGGTTTAAATGTTTAGAGCCTGAGCGAAGAATCTACGGCCGACCTTCTTTGAAAAGTCAGATAAATCAAACTCTCTTTTGCAGCACTTTGTGAGCGAGTGGGTGGGAGAGAAGCAGCAGGACCGCGGCGCCGTACGAACGCCAGAACCGGTCCCAGACAGGCCGCTGAGAATAAGCAGCGACCCTGAAGTGCTCGCCACGCAGCTTAACGCCTTACCAGGCATGACCTGCTCCTCGCAGATCTACAGCACGCCCAAACACTACGTCCGCTTCTCCTCGCCGTTCCTGGCCAACCGCAGCCCCACCACGCCCGGCGTGCCCACCGGGAGGAGGCGCTCCAGGGAGCTGCCAGAAACGCCGCCGACCAGCGGCTCCTGTAAAAAGGTACAGATTTTCCCTCCGTCTCCAGATCAGCGCTGCTCCATTTTTCTTGGTCTGAGGCTTAAAATCACAATATTAATGAAATATGACACATTTGGGAGTTTTATTTTTTGTTTTGATGGAAACGTCTCCTTTCTCTGCAGCGGTGGTTGAAACAGGCTCTGGAGGAGGAGGGCTCCACCAGCCCTGCCAGACGACCCAGCCTGTTTCTGCCCGGCGACGGACCGCTCAGCCCGTCCATCAACGGAGACTCGGACAGTCCGCTGCTCTACAACGGCACCTGCTCGCTACCAGGTGTGCTGCTCGACGGTTTTCAGGCTTTTTTTTTAAACATTCCATTTAGATCAGTTTCCTAGATCAGATAATTGAGAAAAAATGAGGGAATAAACTAAATAAAACCAAACTATCTATTTTGTACTAAATAATTTTAGTTTTTTAAGACAGATTCTTTTTAAATGAATGTTTTTCCTCATCCTCCCTCCTGCTGTGTTCTTTCAGAGTTGCCCACTCCTTTGAAAAAGCGACGGTTGAACCCGTTGGACGCCTGCATTTCAGAAGGCTCCACGCCCTACGCCTCCCCCTGTGCCACGCCCACCCGAGCGGACCACTCGGAGACTCCCACAGCACCCAGCGTGCTGAGCACGCCGCCTCGACCCCGAACAGAAGAACCCAGCTCAGAGCCGTCGTCCAATACTACCCCGACACACGCACTTAACGCCCCTCAGGAGGTACGGTCGTCTGCATGGAAGCCGCTACTCGGTGCTTCCGTTTCTTTTTAATAAAAACTTGTTTTCTGGTCTGCAGACTGAATCTTCAGAGGAGAACTCGCCAGAGGTCGGTCAGAAACCTTCGGTGCAAGAGGTGAGACGTTTGCTGCGTCCTTCTGTTTGAAACTGTCCATCTATGCTTTCATGTTCTAGAAAGGGAATAAAAGACTGACTTTAATCATTTATTTCCCAGGCTGATCGTCCTCCTTCGCTCGTCTCCTCGCCGTGTGTCCGGCCTCCCATTTCAGACGGACTCTCTTCAGAAGTCAAAGTCTCTGTTCCAGAGAGCCCACAGCTCCCAGCTCCTGAGCCAGCGGACTGTGGAGAGGAAAGGACAGACGGTGGGACTGCAGAAGGAGCAAGCGAGGCTCCCTTATCTGCAGAAACCTGCACTTCCTCTTTTTCGGGCTGGATAAAAAGCCCAGACAGAGGCCTGACTGGACCAGCTGGTCTGAACTTCTCCCCAGTCAACTCGAACTTACGGGACCTCACCCCGTCTCACACTCTGGAGCCTCTTGCCGCTCCTTTCAGGCCGGAGCCTGCAGCTGGGTCTGCGGCGGGGTCTGCAGCAGGAACGGGCTCTCAGGCGCCGTTCAGCGAGGCGCAGGGACAGCTGTTCTACTCCGGCCCTGAAGAGGGCAGCTCGCTTGTCCTCTCCCGTTCACTGAATGGGGACGGCGAGGGAGGAGGTTCTGCGCAGAACCCACCTCAGAGGAAAAAGGTGAGGGCTGCTGACATGTTTGTTTATATCAAGATGGATATGAGAGGAAAGAAAGTGGATCCCTGTTTGCATCCGAATCACTGAATTGATTAAAATTCCTCCCAGGTGTCTTTGCTCGAGTACCGGAAGCGTCAGCGAGAAGCGCGGCGCAGCGGGTCCAAGACTGAATGCAGCTCTCCCGTGTCCACCGTGCCGCCTTTGAGCGTGGACGCTTTCCCCGTGGCTCTGGAGACGACCAGCGAGCCTTCTCTACCTCCTGCTCCATCTAACCCCGCCCCCATTATAAAGGAGCCGCAGGGCGGCGAGGAGACGGAGGCCTCAGCGGACAGGGAGGGAGGAGACGGGCAGTGGTATGTATCTAAACCTTTACTCATTTACCTGTAGATATATTTCAGCATAGAAAACTGAACGTGTTCCGGTTGTTATTTATCAGGACGTCGTCCACCTCGGTAGAGCAGGCCAGAGAGCGCAGCTACCACCGAGCGCTTCTGCTCAGCAAAGATAAAGACGCAGGTGAGGATTAAAAGTCATTCTTCTTCTACATGATTTCTTCCTTTTAAAACACAAAGTTTGGTGTTTTTATTTAATTTTTATGTGATAAACCAACACAAAGGATTGAAGCTTGCAGCTTGGTTCAAAAAGAACAAAGTGGCTCTGGAGGAGCTGCTGAGGTGCACAGCTCGGGGTCACACTGTTCATGGAGCTGAGCGTTATACGCCACTCAAAAAACGTTGAACTTTCCTCGAGGAGGAGCTAAAATAGAAGCTTTGGCTCCAAACAAAGAAATGCTGCTTCCTTTCTCATAAAACATGGTAGTGGCAGAATTATGCTGTGGGGAGAAACGCAGGATGATAGCAGCAGTGATCCTATCAGCAGCTGTGGCATCACCATAAACACCAGTTAAAGGTGTGGTTGTACTGGGACTAAATGTGGAGAGGTTTGTTTTGTTGTTGTCTCTGTTTCAGACGGTGAGACGGACGGTGGGGACACGCCGGCGCTAAGAGAGTGTGCGTCTCCGTGTCTCCAGAAAACGCCGACCCAAACGGTAAGACGACGTCCGCTCTGATTCCCATCAGCAGCTTCGCTTCCATCCATGTTTGTGATGTGTGGGATTAAAAACGTGAACGCTGACAGATTCCCGTTCCTCCATGCAGCCCTGCTCCCCCGGCCCGCAGCCGCAGCCTTCCGGTCGCCCGGCGAAGGACGAAGACGGCGACGTTCAGCCCTGGATGGCGAATCCAAACAACAAGCCGGCCGGATCCAAGCCGGCTCCTCTGACCCCGACGAAGCTGCACCCCGCCGCCCCCCTGCCCTCCTCCCCCGTCCACTACCCAGGCTCCTCCCTCCTCCACTCCCCCAAGCCGCAGCCTCAGGGCTCGCCGTTCCGCGGCCAGAGGGCGCTGTTCTCCAACCAGCCTCCGTCGCAGCCCCAGCCCCAGGCTGGACCTGCCCCCTTCCCCCCCTACACCACACAGGGTGCTCCTCCTCCTCCACCCCCGCCGCCCCCGGCCCCACCCGTCTCCACCGCCTACTTCCCCAACCAGAGCCCCTCCCCCACCGTCCCCTTCCCCGGGTTTAAACCCGCCGTCGCCCCGTCTTACCCCACCGGGTCTCAGCCCCTGATGCAGACTCTCCCCCACAGCGTTCACTATCAGAGCTCGGCGGCCCCGCCCCCTCCTCCCC